TTATGTATGTGAATGTGATTGTAGTTTCGTCATTTCTCTGATTTCGGTTTGAATGTGAATTGTACATGTTAATTTCAGAACTATGTTGCGTATAGTCTACAACGGTCCGACATGACCCCGTAAACTGTCTGCTACAACGGTCCGACATGACCCCGTAAACTGTCTGCTACAACGGTCCGACATGACCCCGTAAACTGTCTGCTACAACGGTCCGACATGACCCCGTAAACTGTCTGCTACAACGGTCCGACATGACCCCGTAAACTGTCTGCTACAACGGTCCGACATGACCCCGTAAACTGTCTGCTACAACGGTCCGACACGACCATACCGTGTCTCCTATCCTGTTTTGTTTTTTATTTATCAGTTTACTTTTCTGTTTTGTTACTCTCTTCAAACTCAAGTTGGTTAGTTCCTATCCTCCTTGAGTTTGAGGGGGGCTGTTAATGTACACTAAACCTAACCCACTAACCTAACCCACTACATCCACTCCACTAAACCTAACACACTTACCATCTCCACTACCACCCACCACCTCCACTACCATCCACTACCACCACTCACCTACCTCACACCTCTCCTATATAATAGCTTGTAATATACAAAATCAATATATACAACAATCTTGTAATTCAATACACATCAATCAATAATAATACATCAATTTATTTTAGCATGAGTCGGAAATTGACATTATAGATTCTCCTGGAGAGAACAGTTTCGTACACCTGCAGGCGTGCCTCTTTGGTTATGGTGCTGACAGCGGCATTGAGACAATTGGTCTTTCCCTCGGTGGTGAGGCTCTTGCAGAAATTGTTGTTACCCAAGTTGCGGAGAGCGATGATATCGTCCTCCACTTTGATAGGCCAAAACAACGTGTCGGAGTTGTTGCTGGTGGTGTCATCTGAGTCGGCCCAGATCCAATTAGGGCTGCGCCTCCAGAACTTGCCAAAGAAATCGGACTTTATGCGAATGCTCCCGCCATGAGTGGTGAAAACCTCGTTCCCTACTCTTTCGTCTCCAATGTCACTGGATGCGAACTGCAGATATGGGTGTCCCTCGATGGTGCGGGCGCTAAGGAAGTTGCCATTATTGCCCTTGAAGGCGACGTGTTTGGGCAATATCAACAGCGATTCCCAATCGATGATTGTGTAGACATCGCAACCATCTTTGTCAATATCTGCGGAACTGGCAAGTAAGCAGGCATAATGTGCGGGTGAAGTACTTCTCCATAAGCATGCATAGTGACCGAGCTGGACATGGCGAAATCGGAGTGTTTGAGCATCACCATCACTAGCGGTGCCCTGTACGTAGGTGGGCTCGAACAAAGTACATGACCATGTGGATTGGTCTTCATTTGGTTCGTCAGCCCCAGCAACAATCCACCAGTGATTGGCTGACCACCTTACCAAGTATTTGTTGTTGTAACAACACCTTATGTGCACCAGATTTCCACTTCCACTCTTTGCTAACTCCACCTGAAACTTTACGTACGGGCTCACAACCTCCTCTCCGGAGAATTGGACAAACCCATGCACTTGCACATCTTCATTTATGTAGCGCAAGTATTTGTTGTTATAGTTTGATTTCAGCACTAGAAACCTTGGCAATGCCATTCTCTCTCTCTCTCACTCACTTGTCTTTTTTTTCTTTTTCTTCCTTTCTTGCTTGTGCCTTTTCTACTCAAACTTGCGATGCTATTTATAAGGGAAAATGGTGGTTGTGACGATCCAACTCCAACTCAGTAAATCAACCCAATACCGACAACTTTCTTCTCCTTTTTACCTTGTTTTCTCTCTCATTTATTGGGAAGATGAAAATGATTTTGATACGTATTCAATAAGTTAAAATACAATGATAGAAACTCTTTCATGACTATTTTATAAACCGTTTTTCATGAATTCTAAAATTCTTTTTATTTCATTTGAACAAGTGCAAAGCGGAAAAGAGAAATGTTAGGCATCATGAAAATTTTTTCATGAAAATAATCATGAAAGATTTGTGATCCTTAGATTACCTTGATTAATGTGAGGTGTTTTATTGCAATTGTAATCCAAAGGTCACAAATCTTTCATGATGATTTTCATGAAAGACTTTTCATGATACCTAACATTACTGATCGGAAAATATCAAAACCTTACACTGAAAAATACTCCTCCCAAATTAATAGTCGTTTTTAAAAATTCAAACTTTTTAAGGAGATATAATCTTGGGTAAATTATGCAAATAGTCCCGGTAGTTTACACGATGTGTCAATTTGGTCCTTATAATTTCAATTTGCTTGATTTTGTCCCTTAATTTAATGGATTGTGTCATTTTAGTCCAATAAATAACAGTTGTTAAGTTAATTTAACGGAATGATAAACAATGTGTCAATTTGGTCCATGTACTTTACATGATATGCCAATTTGGTCCCTATAGTTTTAATTTTTTTGATTTTAACAGAGACCAAATTGACACATTGTGAAAAATATATGAACCAAATTGATAAATTGTTTGACTTTTCGTTAAATTAACTTAACAACCATTATTTATTAGACTAAAATGACATAATTCGTTAAATTAAGGGATAAAATTGAGCAAATTGAAACAATAAGGATCAAATCGACAGATCGTATAAACTATAGGAACTATTTGCATAATTTTTCCTATAATCTTTACACTTTGAATTCAAATTTTAAAAAAATAAAATTTCAAAAATACCATTCTATTCTCATTTTTTAATATATTTATAATTACTTTATAAGAGATAATTTTGGAAACTTTTAAATTTAAAGATTTAACTTTTCAAAATGGAAATATATTCTGGACAACAAAAAAATGAAATAATAGACTAATAAAATGGGACGGAGGGAGTATTTACAAAAATAATTTGGCTTCTTTCAAGTTGAGTCAATTTGAGAGAGCGTTTTGGCTTGATAACCCATTTTGGGACTAATTTCAATAATACAAATCGTTTATTTTTTATGACTCACTGAGTAGAGTATTCGTGCAAAAAATCAAGATAATTGGATATCGGTAATTTTATGTATGAATTATATTTATTTTTAAAAAATAGATGTCGAATATAATTTCAAAAATAGCCATTAATTTTTGTGATACAAATGTAATTCAAACATATAATTACTGATATTCGATCATCTTAATTTTTTTATATGAATATTCTACTTAATAAGTCCTAAAAAGTAAACAATTTGGATTACCTAAGCCGATCCCAAAATGAACCTACCAAATCAAAATGCTTTCTCAAGTTGAGATCACCAACATGAGAGAAGCTCAACTCTAACCCATAAAAAAAAAATAAAAAATGGAAAACTTATTATTTTTAATAATTAAAATTATAATATTTTTCATTTTTTTGTAAATAGTTTTTGTTGCCCCCACTGATGTGTTATTCCCCTTTGTATCTATTTTATATATTATACACAAAAAAATATTTTTTATAAATTTCATACTAGTGTTGTCTCGATGATAATTTTAAAAAAAAATTGAGGATAATATTGAATGTTTTCATTTGAGATGAAGGGATCAGAAGAAATAGTTTTATTTTTTAAAATTTTTTTATTTATATATCATTACTTATGTATATTATTTGTTGTTTGATGGAGCATTCCATATATATCTACCAGCAGGCCACACTCGCATTATGTGTGCAATTCAAAAAATGTGATAATATAATAATGGGTAAATTACACCGACACCTCTTGAGGTTTATTTTTACTACAATTTACCTCTTTACTTTTTGAAAATTACATCTCCCTCCCTATGGTTTAAAATTTCATTGCAGATTCTCCCCTCAGCAATTTAATTTTTTTAAATACCAATTTTTCCCTCACTGGGTAAATTACATTGACAACCCTCACATTTTAGAAATTTCAATCCCCTCCCTAAGGTTTAAAGTAGCATTATTAATTGCCTCATCGGTTAGTATTAGTTGGAAAAAAAAATTCATTGAAAAAAAAATTATTAGTAAAATTTTTAAATTTCTGTTTAAAAACCAACGTAAACTCATTTTTTAAATTTATATTTTTTCCTCAAATTTAAAAACTGAAACAACAATTTATAAACCGAAAAAATTATCAAACAAGTTTTTATGACAGTTTTTAAATTTTTGTAAATATAAATTGAAAATTGAAAACTGAAAACGAAATGGTTATCAAACAGGCCTTAGATGGTAAAAATATCATAAAAGCAACAAATAATTAAATAAGTTACCAACGTAAGAAATGACTTGTCAAAAGATTTTTAGGCTATGTATGGTTTGATTTTTAGAATTTTGTTTTAAAAATTAAAAATTAATTTGGTTAAGAAATAAAAAATAATTATCATTTAAGGGTAAAAAATAATTATCATTTTAACTTTTGGACAGGTTATATACATACGTATGGTTGTTTCAATTTAATTTGTAAAAATTATTTCTAATCACTCGAAAGATAAAAATTATATAAAAATGATAATTATTTTTTTATTTATTATTTATTATTTTTAATTTAAAAAAATTTTAAAAATCAAACTATACATAGCCTAAGAATCTTTTGATAAGTTATTTCTTACGTTGGTAACTTATTTAATTATTTGTTAATTTTATAATATTTTTATCATCTGAAATCTATTTGGTAACCATTTTATTCTCAATTTTCAATTTATATTTACATAAATTTTAAAAACTGTCATAAAAACTTGTTTGGTAATTTTTTTGATTTATAAACTGTTGTCTCAATTTGTAAATTTGAGAAAAAAATGTAAATTCAAAAAATGAGTTTACGTTGGCTTTTAAACACAAAAAAAAAAAAAAAAAATTCAATTAATTTTTTTTTCAAATATTTTTTTTAATTAATTTTTTTTCAATGAATTTTTTTTCTAACTAATACTAACCGATGGGGCAATTAGTAATGTTACTTTAAACCTTAGGGGGGGATGTAATTTCTAAAATGTGAAGGGTGTTAATGTAATTTACCTAGTAAGAGTAAAATTGGTATTTAAAAAAATTAAATTGCTGAGGGGGGAATCTGTAATGAAACTTTAAACTTCAGGGAGGGAGAGATAATGTCCAAAATGTGAGAAGGGGAACTGTAATAAATATAAATCTCAAGGGTGTCAGCGTAATTTACCCTATAATAATAATGATAAAGAAAAATGCACATATAATATGTTTGTTTAAGTGGTAAGGGCTTATTTTGCAAAACCCATGATGTAATCGATTCAATATGGTTCATATTTAGGTAAAATTTTTCACAAACCGCACCAAACCGAACCAAACCAAACCAATTGAAATGGTCGGGTTTGATGCGGTTTAATCAGTCAACGACCTTTCAAATTTGAGCCACTTTTTAATATAAGGGTTACTTACAAAAAAAATCTCAAAGTTTCACATATGTTTCACTGTAACGTCCCAAATTTCTAACCCAAATGATAACACAAAAATCATGGCTCTTTCAAGGAAAACCGAATATAAATCTCCAAACTTACATTACATGATACAATAGTTCTTCATGCAACAATACATTAATCCAACAACAAGTAAATAAATAAATACCCTCAAGGGCTTACAAATTTCCAAGGCTTGAGCCTGGTTACACAAAACGATTATTCAAACCCACACACATACAGCCCTTGACTTACACACAGAGTCACAACAAAATAAGAGTCTCGTACTCTCAACACACATTTCCTCGCCTTTAGTTAGGCGGTATCACCACATCTTTTCCTGCACAAAAATCCCATAGGGTGAGCATAAAGCCCAGTGAAAAAATCCTTAACAAAGTATATACATTTTATACAAGTCTCAAGAGATGAAATGTATATGCCATGCTATGCCCTTTTGAAAGAAAATCGTATCTTCATCTTTGAAAACCATCATGCTCAATGATGTCATACAATTTCAATTCTTCAAAACTTAACAATTCATTTCAAGAGCGGTAAATACGACTCTGGTAATTCTTAGGTCGGTGTCTGCAAGTAGACTATACAAGTACTACCAATTTGTCATTTTTATCGGTATTAACCGGAAGGCTCAACATCTATCCGCGCAGGTTTTCGGTGTTTTACCCCGGACTCTCAGGCCAACTTATTCAATATCATCTACACCACCTATCAAGAGCAGCTTTTAAGCTTATTTTGATGGAAACTATTGAACCACCATCATCAGAAATGTCCACATTGAAGGGTGAACATTATTTTGATAAGGATGATGACAATATAGAAATGTTGACATTGAATGCCAATGCAATGATTAATAATACAATACAATATTTCTTCCACTTTCAACACTTCCACACAATATTCCCATTGTGATCAAAATTCTCATTTTTATTATTTCAAACAGTTCTCATATTTCGAGCAATCTCAACAGTTTAGTCATTCGAGACTATAACAACATTTTGATCAACAATTTCAAATACTTCAAAAAATCTCATATTCCATGAAACTCATCATTTATATGTATATAAATAAATAACTATCAAACATCATTTATTTTGGCCCACAAAATAAATATAACATCTTCAAAGATTGACAACATCTTTTTTAAAAACTCCCAATTTCTAGGTTTTCTTACCAAAACCACTCATCTTCATTTATTGAAAGAAAATCACCCAAAAACATCTCTCTTCAATCATCATAGTTCAAAACCCCTAATTTTTATTTTAAAAGG